TTTTTTCCCAATCTGTAGGTTCTCTTTTGACTCTTTTGGAGAAGTCTTTGGAAGCACATAAAAATTTAATTTTTAGAAGATTCTATTCATCTAGTTCCTCTTCTGCTGCTTGTGCATTTTGAGTTATGCTTGACAATCCATTTATGCCATAAATTAGGGCCCCTAAATTTGCCCCTAGTTTTTCCTTAAGGAACTTTTTAGGTTTCACATTTAAATCTTTGATCCATCTGGAGTTAATTTTTATTCTGTCTGATATTTGATCACCTACTCATTGAAAAGCCCGTTACCACCTCAAACCTAGCAAACCCAGACTCCTGATCACCTTCTCCTAAACGTTATCAAAGAGCCGCCTGGAATGGCCCACGATCTGGTCTCATCTTCGAAGCAACACCTCCATCATCCCAACCCAGTTAGAAACCAAATCCTTAAGAGGCAATATCTGAGGTGGTTAACAGTGAAGCAAAGGCTCTAGAGCCAGAATGCCTGGGTTCTACTCTTAATACCATTACTTAGTAGCTTTGAGACTTTGAGCAAAGTGCTAAGCTCCCTGTTCCTCATCTCCTCAGTTAACATACATAACATCTTAGAACAGAGCCTGGCGCTGAGGGTTCAGGAAGAGTAAGTCACTCTATTTTTATTATTATCCCAGTGAATCTTCTCTTTAAACTACTGTTCTGATCAGTTTTCTGTCAACTTCAGCTTTACCTTCTCTTTCCATCAAAAGAGAGTCCGGACTTCTTTACTTAGTTTCTGACTCTCCCTAAGTTGACCTCATCGTTTTAACCTCTCCCCCCTGCTGCTTCCCATCAGGTCCCATATAGCAGCTGTATCTTCTTCAACACCTGAGCAGCCACAGACACCTATCCAGAGCTCTACAGTTCCTGGAGTGCATTCACACACCATCGGAACCACTTTCCCCCAACAAAATGTCCTTTCCTCTCACCAATCCAAGATCCAGCCTCCTCCAGGTAGGCTTCTTGGCTTTCCAGTCAAGTGCACCTGAGCTAAACCCTCCCTTGCAAGGCTTTAGACTTCTATAGAGTAAATGACACACATTGTGGCACTTTTGCTATTTTGTACTGTTTTCTGGTTTTATATGTTGACTAACAGGTCTCAACAAGACCACAGTCAACAGGGTTCGAGAACTTGGCCTGCTACCTCTTTTATATTCAATATGGTATCATGTCAGCTGTGGTCATACACTAAACCAAGAGGTAGCTAACTTTTTCTAAGGGCCAACAGTATATATTTCAGGCTCTGCAGGCCATGTGGCCACAACTACTTTGCCAGAATGGCACAAAAGCAGCATGAATGATACCTCAACAATGGATGTGGCTGTGTGCCAATAAAACTCTGTAAAAACAGGTGCCAGGAGGACCAATTTAAGAAGCTAGCCTTGAGACTCCCCATACATTCTGCCTGGCAGGCTAATCCTTCAGCGAACGTGAAGCGCTGGTGCGTTCAGCACAGGCATACACACACTCCACGTCCGTAATAATAGCCAGGCTTACATAAAATAGCTCTTTTTTTTTCTTAATTTTAACCATTTTTTAAAATTGTGATTTGTATCAAAGTTTCATGGAAGAGATCTTGATTTAAGCACTCAGACATTGAAATCCGTTCCAATCACTGACTTTAGCATTTACTGTGCCACTACAGACCTTGAATAAGTTATTCAATCTCTTTGCTCAATTTCCTCACCTCATAATGTAGAAACAATAAAAAAAACCCATCCCGCAGAGCCACTAAAAGAATCACATGAGCTATTTTAGGAGTCTGGCATGCTGGCGTCTGGCGCCCTGGAAGTGCATTAGCCAACTGAGACAGTATCTCGCACTCAGGCAGTCGATACCTGTTATCAGTCAGAAGGTCCTCAGTCACTTTCTTGCCTGTGAACTTGTGTCTGTTCCCCATCTTGAAGTTGAGTGTCTTCCGGAGGCGTCTTTGTCTACGGGAACAGTAGCCCCTATAAGAGAGCAAACAAAAATCACTCAATCGAGCTGACAGTGTTTTAAATAGTAAATGCTGGCAAGGTCAAAGGTTTGGAGTATTCTGTGGATTACCATATATATGACACTTCATCTTGTAAACATTTATTAAATAACTAAAACATGTAGGGCAATATGAGTGGGATTACAGAAACAGAGAGGCAGAGCATACAGTGCCCATTCTCCAGGAATCACCCTCTAGTTGAGGACCACGCAAATAAAATGGCAAACAAGAAAACTGAATGGAAAGGACACGAGTAGTCACTCTCTTCTCTTTAACCGGCAGCTGGGCCTTGAAAGAATATGTCAGGTTCTGATGGAGGTACAGCAGGGGAAGAGGCCCCCCAGGGAGAAAGGAACAGCAAGCATACGTGACCAAACACCAGGGTCCAGTCAGGAAACCACCAAGGATTCCTACACACACCACCTCTTGTGAGGTGTCCCCTCCTCTGTGCTCAGGGAGCTCAGCAGAGCCCGGGGCCCTGGGATCACATTCTGACCCCTCTGCCCCCCACCGGAGAACAAACTGCTGCAAAGCGGGGATCTTATGTTGAAATTTTCCCTGGTGCTTCAGCACAGTGTCAAGCACACACACGTTCAAAAAATGCATTTTGACTAAAGGAGAGTAATAAATTCGTGTATACTTTTACCAACCCTTAAATCAAAATAGGAACCCTGGTAGCACAGTGGTTAAAGTGCTCAGCTGCTGACAGGTTGGTGGTTTGAACCCACAGCCACTCCATGGAAGACAGACGTGGCAGTCTGCTTCTGTAAAGCCTTGGAAACCCTATGTGGCAGTTCTACTGTCCTACAGGGTTGCCTTGAGTCAGAATCAACTCAACAGCAGCCGGTTTTGGCTCTGGGTCAATGAAAACAATACAGCAGCTAATTTACAATACAGAATAACTGAAACAAAGCTTCAGCATCTCCATCTTAAAGCTGCTAGGGCACAGGCTATTAAAAGAAGAAATAATACTCGGGGTGACTCTATGAACCAGACTTCTTCCCTCAACTCCTACTATGGGCTTTAATCATCACTTACCTTTCTTTTTACATCAAACTCAAGTGGAATGCTCATATGCGGGTACAAGTGCACAATGGCAGAAACCTTCTGGCAACAGGGATACAGTCATCAAGATCAAGGATAAGATACTCATGCCCCTGAGCCAACAGTCGACTTCTATACTGTTGCTGCTGTTATGTGCCATCAAGTTGATTCCAACTCACAGTGACCCTATGTGATGGAACAGAACTGTCCTATAGGGTTTTCTGAAGGAGCTCTGGTGGTGCAATGGTTAAACATTCAGCTGCTAACCAACAGGTCAGCAGTTCAAACTCACCAACTACTCCATGGGAGAAGGATGAGGCAGTCTGCTTCCATAAAGATCTATAACCTTGGAAACCCTATGACGTAGTTCTACTCTGTCCTACAGGGTCATTGTGAGTTACCATCAACTCAGTGGCAATAGGTTTTGGGCACAGGGTCTCCTAGGATGTCATCTCTATGGAAGTAGATGACCAGTCTTTCCTCCCACAGAACTACTGGTGGGTTCGAACCAATAACCTTTCAGTTACCAACTGGGCGCTTAACCACTGTGCCCCCAGGGCTCCCTCTACGTACACTGCTTTATACTAAACAACGCTAATTAGAAATACACACAGGTATGAACAGAAACTCATGGGAACAAAATGTTTAAAGCTACAGAATTTGCTACCATTCTAATAACCAATTTAAGGGAGGAAGGCAATAAATTATGATATATCCTTATACTGGACTTGCTAACCAAAAGGTGGGTGGCTAGAACCCACCAGCTGCTCCATAGGAGAAAGATGAGGCAGTCTGCTTCCGTAAAGATCTACAACTTCAGAAACCCTATGGGACAGTTCTACTGTGTCCTAAAGGGTGTCTATGACTCGCAATTGACTCAATGGCAGTGGGTGTGGTTTTGGGTATATGAGACCACAATGCAACTAATAAAAGTACTGTTTGGGGTGGCAGGGGAAGGGAGGGTAGGGTGGGTCACCAACTAGAGGGCAGACGTGTATTAACGTGGATGAGAGGAAAGGCTACACACAGTAAGGTAGACGTGTATTAACGTGTATTAACTTGAATGAGAGGAAAGGCTATACACAGTAAGGGAGGTCAGCACAAGATGATAAGGCAGAAGACGACACTGGGAGGAGCCCAAGAGTGAAGGGCAACGAAGGTGAACATTAGTACACTCACAATCCTACAGTGACAGTAACAACAACTGCTAAATCTACAAACGGGGAAACAGACGAGCAAGCTGACCAGGTGTGGGAATGGGACCACACTCATGAATGTATCTAGGTTTGACAGGCTATTTCTACACACGTGTTTATATGTGCTGCAAACATATCCATGAATATAGCAGACCACACAGGGGGAAAACTTACGGAAACCTCTTAGCCACAACCAAACGCCTTGAGAGAATGAGTCACTAGGCACGGAGGCTCAGGACCAGTCTCAGGACATCAAGACCCACTGATAGAGTCCACAGGACACAGTTCACAAAGGCAACGCTCTACATTCTACCTCGGTGAGCAGTGACTGGGGTTTTAAAAGCTCATGAGCAGCCATCTAAGGTGCAACTATTGGTCTCTCCCCGTCCGGAGCAAGTCAAAGTGAAGAAATTAAAGACTCATGGACATAATTAGTCCAAAGGACTCATGGACCATGGGAATCTCAGCCTCCACAACTCTTAAGACCAGAAAAACCAGATGGTGCCCAGCTAACACTGCCAACTGCTCTGAAAGGGATCACAGTAAGAGGTCCTGGAGAGAGTGGAAGAAAACCGTGGAACAAAATTCACACTCATAAAAAACACCAGGCTTGCTGGTCTGATAGAGACTGGTGCAGTCCCCGGAGTACGGCTGTTAGACGTCTGTCAAGCCTGGAACTGAAGCCACGACCATGGCTCAATCTTCAGCCAAACAACAGACAGGCCTGTGGTGTGGACAATAGTTTGAGGGAGGTATGCACTCCTTGGAACAATCAATAAAATGAGATCACAGGGGCAGCACGTGCCCAGAGATGAAGCTCAGAAGGCAGGAAGGCACAGGAGAGAAGGACAAAGAGGAAGGTGAACACAGGAGGGAAGGATGAGTGCTGCACACTGTGGGGATGGCAATCAACGTCACAAGACAAACCAAAGGAAACCCAAACTCACTGCCATCGAGTGGAACCCGACTCATAGCGACCCCTCCTTGGGTTTCCGAGGCAGGATCACTACAGAAGTAGATTGCCCAAACTTCCTTCCAAGGACTGGCTGGTGGGTTTGAACTGCCACCCTTCTGGTTAGCAGTCAAATGCCTTAGGCACTGCGCCACCAAAGCGCCTAACAAAATGTGTATGAATTGTTGAATGGAAAACCAATTTCCTCTATAAATTTTCACTCAAATTACAATAAAACACTTTTAAAAAAACTGTTTATAGAGCATTTTCACAGAAATAGAGAAATACATACAATAAAATGTTCAGCAAAAAAAATAAAGTCATATATCCAACATGACCAAACTTAGGAAAAAATTCACAGATAGACTAAAAATACAGTTGGTGGATGTCAATGTAGAAATATATTTACATGAAAATGGGCTGTGAGGCTATACACCAAATTCATGATACCACTGGGGGAGGACAACAGCCAGGAGGGTGCTGACTAAAATAGACCTTAGCATCCTTTGTCATATTGTTGTTGTTGTTGCTGTTGTTGTTAGGTGCCGTCAAGTCGTATGTCATATGACAATTTTAATAGTTAGTTGTACTTTGGGGTATTAGGAATATGGATATGCGTTATTTATAATTTTCTGTAATTTCTAAAACATGGTTAAAGAAATATGAATGACTTTTAAACATAAGATGTACAATTTCATTTATAATTGAATAAATGCAAATAAAAACTTTTGTTTAAAACAAAGAAAAGGAAGAATGTCAAAAATATTAACAGTGTTTGGTTAACCATCTCGGGGCGTTGGGGTTACAAGTAGTTTCTTCCCTGTTAATCTGCTGTCACAATAATCATTTATAACCTTCTATGGTTATGAAAAATTTTTCAAAATACAGCCACTCACTCCAGGAAATCAAATGAGGAAGATAAAACTGATCTTAGCCCAAAGAGCTAGTTCAGAGATGTCCAGTAATGGATTGCCATAGTGTAGTTCAACTTTAGTTGCCACAATGTTTAAAAAGGCAGATTAAAACATGTCCAATCAAGCTGAATGCTCAAGTATGTCTAAGCAAAAGGGAATATACCCATGACCATAAATAAGGTTGGCAGATGGTATTTTGACACACGCATTTGTATATCCATATATGTAATAGAGCCAACGAGGGGCAAAGTTACGACAACTTCTTGGCCACGGCCAACTACCCTGAGGGAGCAAATAGTTGGACCTATGGGTTTGGGACCACAGTTACAAGGGACATCAAGCTCAACTACCACAACATACCACACAAAAGCATATCCAATCTGCCATCTTAAAATGAAGCTATAATCTAGAGTATACAACACTTCAGTTGTAGCAGTTACTACGCAAGAGCAGCTCAGGGCGACTTACATCACCTGATATAAGGACAGCAATAAATAAGCTTATGTTTACTGGCAACTGTCAGCCTAGACAGTAATAATTTCTGGGAAAAATCTGTTGTATAAAAAAAAAAACCTGGAGAATTGCTCTCAACAATCAGCAAATTAATAGTTGACTCCTACTAAACAACTTTTGTCCCCAAGCTAATGATCATGTGACTTAAGCACAGATGATATTAGGTACTGGCCTAAAGCAATAAAAAGCATAACACAGTCCACAAAGATGATATTCTAGTGACTGGGGTCTTAAAAGCTTGTGAATGGTCATATAAGATGCAACTATTGGTCTGTCCCCATCCAGAGCAAAGAAGGGTGTAGAAAATCAAAGTTGCAAGGAAATAATCAAAAGGAGGAACGGTCCACGTGAACCA